GGTATTGTTCTCTCTATAATATATTCAATCCCTCTCATTAAATCACAGCAGTATCCTCTTTTTTCAGAGAGCATTTACTCCAAACAAAAAAATGCTAAAAAGAAATACGCACAAATTAAATTGCAAACCAAATATCACTTCAAATTATATTGTTGTGAAGAATATTTTAGCTAATTACTATGACTAACTGGTCTTAGGTCTTATAAAGAGATGTCTATTTAAAAGTAAACTATTAAATGCACTCCATTTGATGTGACAAACACAAACACTGTAACAGAAGGCCAGGTAAAATCTTTTTAGTTTAAGGAAGAGACTCCTTTATATCTTTAGTATTGAGAGCCAGAGCTAATAACTGACACAGGATTTAACTGCTAAATTCTGCACTTATGTGTTATATGTTAGGGAAAAAAATTTAAACAACACTTAAAATCACAGAAAATTGGAATGGGAACAATCTTATAAACACCACACCCTTATTGATGAGGAAATCTAAAAAGTGAATTTCCGGCCGGGCGCAGTGGCTCACGCCTGTAATCCCAGCACTTTGGGAGGCCGAGGCAGGTGGATCACGAGGTCAAGAGATCAAGACCATCCTGGTCAACATGGTGAAACCCCGTCTCTACTAAAAATACAAAAATTAGCTGGGCATGGTGGCGCATGCCTGTAGTCCCAGCTACTAGGGAGGCTGAGGCAGGAGAATTGCTTGAACCCAGGAGGCGGAGGTTGTGGTGAGCCGAGATCGCACCACTGCACTCCAGCCTGGGTAACAAGAGCGAAACTCCGTCTCAAAAAAAAAAACCCTGAATTTCCCTAATTATTAGATATACTTACTGAAAGAATCAAAACCAGAACCAGATATCCTGATGCCCAGTCTTTTTAGCTATACCAACCTGTCTCCCAAATTATAGCAGATTTTTCCATCACATGTTAAATTATAAAAATGCTAAATATATTTGGGATGGTAATATATTCTTCCCCATCTCATGGACATTCTTTTAAAGTATGTTATTGACCTAACCAACAGGAAAGACAGGGAGAGAAAGAGGGAAGAACCAAATTTGCAGAAACTTTCATTTGTAGAAATCTATTAATTTGTAAACCTTTTCATCTGCAGAAACCTATGAATTTGCAGAAACTTTCATTTGCAGAAATCTATTAATTTGTAAACCTTTTTATCTCAGAAACCTATGAATACTACTAATACTTTCAGCTCAACTTCCCCCATATCAATTTATGACAACAGAAGAAGCTTTGAACCATTTCGATTTCCTCCTACTCTGAAAAAAAGATATTAAGAGGCGAAACTGGAATTGACAGGGCCATTAAAACATGACAGTGAGTTTTTAACAGTCTTCCCTCTAATGTGACAGTTCAAATCATTTCTCCTTTCACCAGAGCCACACAAAACTTTTCAACTACAAAGTCAAATTGTTGTATCTTTGAAAACAGAGTTGATTTCTGAACTTACTATCATTGAAATTCTCTTAATTTCTGCTCAATTTAAGAGTGCAGCATATTATATCTCCAGTGTAGGCTCCACTGATGAGGAATTGTCAAGAATAAATGAGGTAATATATGTGGAAATACTCTGCAAATGTAAAATTATTGTAACATATAGAAAACATTGTATATTTTTTAAAAAAAGGCCTATGATTGTGTTGCGGATGCAAAGATGATGCAACTTTCTTAGTGGTTAATCATTAGATACATTTCCTTTAAAATCAGGAGCAAGAAAACAATGTCTGCTATCATAGCTTTATTTGAACACTATACTAAAAGGATGGCGAATGTAATAAGACAAGAGACAAATAGAAAAAGAATGAGGATTGGTAAAGGAAAAGCAAAACTGTCCTTATTTACAGATTACATAGCAAAGCAGCTGAGATAAGATGAAGGTGTTATTAATGTTTATTCAGTTTGTGCAGGGTATCCAGAATGGAAACTCAAAGGTGTATTGCTGAGTGTGAGGTATAATACTAGTTATTCTAGAAGCAGTTGTTTCTTTTTTTTTTTTGAGACGGAGTCTTGCTCTGTCACCAGGCTGGAGTGCAGTGGCACGAACTCGGCTCACTGCAACCTCCTCCTCCTGGGTTCAAGCGATTCTTCCGCCTCAGCCTCCCGAGTAGCTGGGACCACATGCACATGCCATCATGCCCGGCTATTTTTTGTATTTTTAGTAGAGATGGGGTTTCACCATGTTGGCAAGAATGGTCTCGATCTCTTGACCTCGTGATCCACCCGCCTCCGCCTCCCAAAGTGCTGGGATTACAGGCTCGAGCCACCGCGCCCGGCCCTAACATTGTTTTTAGAAACAACTGGTTCTAAGGGCCGGGCGCGGTGGCTCACGCCTATAATCCCAGCACTCTGGGAGGCCGAGGTGGGCGGATCACGAGGTCAAGAGATCGAGACCATCTTGGTCAACATGGTGAAACCCCGTCTCTACTAAAAATACAAAAAAATTAGCTGGGCATGGCGGCGCGTGCCTGTAATCCCAGCTACTCAGGAGGCTGAGGCAGGAGAATCGCCTGAACCCAGGAGGCTGAGGTTGCGGTGAGCCGAGATCGCGCCACTGCACTCCAGCCTGGGTAACAAGAGCGAAACTCCGAAACTCCGTCTCAAAAAAAAAAAAAAAAAAAACAATGTTAGAACAGTTAGACTACCTTTAAGCCTTAGACTACCTTTAAACAGTTACACTACTTTAAACAGACTACCTTTAAGCCTTAAAGTTTACACATAGGTAGCTTTTGGGAATACGGAATGGGGGTCTTAAAATAAAAGACTATGGCTCAAATTGGATACAAAAAGCAAAGAAAAGTGGATGCAGAAGCTTGAGAATAATATTCTATTCTAAATTACCCATAAGTATGCTATCCTATTTGTGAGCTATCATCACATTTAAGGTTTCCTGGCATGAGCACTGGATTACTAAATAATAGTCAATCAAGAGGGGAAGGAACCAGGTCAATCACAAACCAAGTGGTCTACATGGTAGGACATAAATATCTCTGCTCACGTCCATTATCAAAGACTGTTGTGAAATTATTTTTACGTATATACAGCTCAGTACAGCATTAAAATCCTTAAAAACTTTTATTACTTTTATTTAATACTATGTGAATGCAATTTTGTTTTCCACATCTTCACAAAATTGAGTGTGCTTTAAGCTACTTGTCGATAATAAAGTGTCTCAAATCTACATTTTTACCATATTCTTCATTCAGAAAGAGTTTTAAAATGGTTTAGTCATGTTGTACAACATACACTGATAATCTAAAATGGCTACATGAGCTCTGTAAATGTACTGATAATGATTTTTGAATGAATTTAAGGTTGCATTATTATTTGCAACACCAAAGCAAAGGGTACCAACCATTTAAAAGTGCCAATTATTCAACTTTTGTTTTTGTGTTTAGTAATGTTTCAGATTATTTCCCCTCTAAATATTACATAACGAGGCAAATACTATTTTTACTACAATGGAGCAAAATTTTAAGTCAGAAGCTGCAAGCACATTAGAACCATCTGTTTTAGTTATGTGCAGAAAGTATCTAGTATCAATCAGAGAAAAGCTGAGGGAAAAGTCACTGACTGGTTGAAAATATACTAACTGCTAGAGGAAAAAAATGTTCCATATGCCATAAACCAGACTCTCTTAAATAAACTTGGAAATGATATAAATTTTCCTATCTTCTTTACACAAGCCAATGTTAATTAGCTTGCAGAATTTCAAAGTAGTAGAAAATTTTAAAAAATAATTACTTTTGTCTTTCACAAGCATATAATGAACATATACATTTTTGTGGCATCCAGTGGTGTTTGGTACTTTTCAAAGTAGATGATATATCACTTTCCAAAGATCAGTATACTCTCAGATTATAAGTTACTTATGTATTTCTAGCTCTGAATGATACATTCATATAAAAATAGATTTCTGATCAGCACCTATTTATAATCCTCCAAAATGGTTAGATCAAAAAGTATGAGAGAAAGTAAGAAAAGAAGAGACAAGAGTGGGAAGAGGCCAAAACCACCAACATGCAAGGACTTTAATGAAAGCTGTGCCATTGCAGAATTAAACATTAAACGTACTTGGTTAGAAAATGTAGGCGAGTGCTTTTATAAGTGCTCTTTTTAAAAAACAGTAAATATAAAATGATATAGATTTGTGAATATACTTCTGACTACCTACTGGTTAATATTTACTCACTACAAAGGCTAAATTGGATTATTCACGTACTGATTATCTAACTTACAAATTAGCCATGATGTTTGCCTTTTTCTCCATATTATTACCAAATTTTTGTGCAGTTCATTATTCATTAACCATCTCCATTAGAATGGTAGATATGGACAATGTGAATATACCCCCACACCTCATTCTGCATTTCTGATAAAATTAATAACTTCATGGCTATTCTCTACTGACAGAGACAGAATCTTCTGTATCCAAGGAGAGCACATTTACTGAAAATCAAGAAACAGTTTTTTTCAGGCCTATTAATAATGAGGGAGAAGAAAGATTTCAAAATAGGACATAAAAACAATACAAAGGTATATGCTGTGATGTAACTCTGAAGACAACATTTGATAACTTGCCAGTATTCCACAATAAGCACCACACTGATTCTTACACTTGCCTGTTGTCAGAAAAATGGAGACAATTGCTGCATGATCTTGTCAGAAAGACAGAGTCATTTGGGACTCCTTTGAGCTTTTACAGCACAGCCTGAGAGGACCTTTTGTTCCTTTCCTGTTAGCAGAAGAGCCAAACTGAGGCTATGCCGCGCCTCCTCCCTCATGAGGAGGCACAAAACACGCAACCGAAAAGTCACCTTCTGGGATCAGTACTGAGGATCTCATAGCGCGTGTGTAAAGCAGAAAACATGGCATAGTGCGAATAGAAAAGGAAGACAGAGTAAAAAAGTTTTAAAATCCTTAAACGGGCTTCTAAAGTATAGCTCTGTAAAATGATGTAGAAAAAGTGAGGTAGAGGGTCTTACCTTGCAGATCTTATAGAGTGATTCCTGACCATCTCCTCCAGTATCTTTAAAGTAATCATGTGCGGGAAATGTACGATGAATATCTCGAGTAATAACACTCTCCTGGGCCGAGTCCTAAAAAAGAAAAAACAGAGCTGGTTATTAATTTGAATTTTTTCTAATTATGAAACATAATATATAGACATTGTGAAAAAAAAAACAGTAAAAAAATAAACAACAGAAAAACTTCCCTTCTATCCCAGACCCATAGTCTCATACCGAAGGTAAGTGCTACCAACAGGTCCTTTGTATCATTTCACCCATTTATCTATCGATATGTGTGTGTATACGTATGTTTATATGGGGAGAAGGGGCAGGGATGGAGGGAAGTTGTATGCACACATCTCCACAGAAGCAAACTCTTTGTTTCTTTCACTTAACGGAGTAACATAGAGTGTTCCTTATCAAGACATGTAAATATAGTTTATTCTCTGTAGAAGCAGTTACTTTTAAAAAATAAGATAGATCTGGATACAGATGTATCATAATTTACTTAACATTCTCCTATTAATGACCATATTCTTTGCATTTTTTCTATCTATATAACAAACAATACCATAAGGAATATTTTATACATATGTCTTACACACATGCTCAAGGATAGATTCCTTGAGGTTTAACTGCTAAGTCAAAAGTTACGCGCATTTCCAGTTTTCATGAACTCTCTCTCCAGGTCACTCCAATGCATACTCCAAACAACAGCAGAGTATGTGTTTCTCATCTGCCCAATATCACAAATCATCTAATTTTTTTTTTTTTTTTTTTTGAGACGGAGTTTCGCTCTTGTTGCCCAGGCTGGAGTGCAATGGCGCGATCTCGGCTCACCACAACCTCCGCCTCCTGGGTTCGGGCAATTCTCCCGCCTCAGCCTCCTGAGTATCTGGGATTACAGGCACGCGCCACCATGCCCAGCTAATTTTTTGTATTTTTTTTTTTAGTAGAGACGGGGTTTCACCATGTTGACCGGGATGGTCTCGATCTCTCGACCTCGTGATCCACCCGCCTCGGCCTCCCAAAGTGCTGGGATTACAGGCTTGAGCCACCGCGCCCGGCCAAATTATCTAATTTTTAAATCTGACAATCTGATCAATAAAAACTCAGACCACAATCACTTAAAAAGTAAAAGTATTATCAATCTTTCCTAGGTTAATTACCCAACATATTGACTTCACAAAACAGGAAGCTACAGACTACTATATTAAGATGATGTCTTCTTTAAACATAAGCCTAGATGTTTGGTGAAGACAAATTTATAAACCAAAACTCCAAACTGTGTAAAATTCTAAGCCTCATAAAACTGATTAAACATTCTCTTGATTTTATTTTATTCCTGGAAAAGTGTTTTTTATCTTTTTAAATGTCAAGAAAATAGTATGGGATTACTTTTAGCAACCCTGATGGTGAAAATATTTTGTACAATTCAAAGAAACATCAAACTACTAATTGCAAATTAAAAGAACTGTTTAATGTCTTACTTCAATAAAGATTTAAACAAATCCCCTCTTTCAGTCTCAAATCAAGGAAGACAAAAAAATTTTAATATATGTTATTTTAATGAATGCCATTTCTCTTTCTCTTTATAGTTTAAAAGTACACCAGAAGTGGGGAGTAAGGTAAGTCATTACCTTCTCTTGCTGCCTACATTTCAGCTGCTATTTTATGCTGGGTGGTAATTAGATCTTACATACAGAAAGAGAGGAAGCAAACTAAAAACGCCCAAATTTGCTAGCAAACACTGAACATACTACAAATCAATCCAAATGAAATTCTGATGGCTTACAGAAATGAAATACTAAACCTGAATTAAAATAGAGCCATAAAAAATCACCATAAGTAAAAAGATACAGAGGAAATTTATATTTGCCAAGGTAAATGCAGTTTCTAATGATAAAGAAAGCTGCAGGGTGGGGTGGGGGTATAGAAAAAAAGTAAATATAAAGATATTATAAAGGGATAGATTATGAAACATTTGTTTTATCTTGTCTGGAGTCTTATGTACGAAAATCTGGTATCCAGACAGACCAAAGTTTTCTCTGCCAGGTTTTCTCCAACAGAAGAGCTCTCTTCCCATAAGTTAATAGTTTCCACTTATAAACTACCTGAAAGATGAGGAATGAAAATGTTACTACTGCTATTTTTGAACTATTTCAGGAACAAATTTGTGCCCAGTGGCCATAGGAGAACTCTTTTTGTAGTTTCAGGACATTGAGAGAGAGAGAAATCTCTGGACTGTATTCCCTAGAAACTACTTATGCATTTAGCATTATGCTGTGTTTAAATGGTTCCAACAGTCTGATTCAGGGAAGAAAAAATTGGTAAAAAAAATTTCTAGAGCATAAATTCACAGAATACTGAGTAATTTTTTCTATGCACACTTGATCTTCCATATTTAAGAAATAAAGGACAAAATCAAATGAAAATAAAATTACTTTGTCCTTACTTAATAAAATTTCCCGGCTGGGTGAGGTGGCTCAAGCCTGTAATCCCAGCATTTTGGGAGGCTGAGGTGGGCAGACTGCCTGAGCTCAGGACTTTGAGACCAGCCTGGCAACATGGTGAAACCCTGTCTCTACTAAAAAATACAAAAAATTTGCAGGGTGTGGTAGCACATGCCTGTAATCCCAGCTACTTGGGAGGCTGAGGCAGGAGAATCACTTGAACCCAGAAGGTGGAGGCTACAGTGAGCTGAGATCACACCAGTGCACTACAGCCTAGGCAACAGAACCAGACTCTGTCTCCAAAAACAACAAACAAAAATAATTAACATAAAATTTCCCTTCCTAAGATTACTTTTAAACGTTTAATACACAAATGCTCCTAGACTTTTCTCCCTATGAAGTGCCCTCAGTTGGCTAAGGGAATAATTTCCAGAACCTCACTTTATAGACTAAATAAGCTATTTTGCTACATTATTCACTGATCCATCTCACATAAGTGAAGGTCAATAGGTATTACCGAATCTTGTAAACAGACCAATAGGAATGAAATTGTGTACTGAACTTGTGAAAATCAAAAGAAAACAATTGTGTTTTTGAAGTAAAAGCTAATGTTAACCCACCTTCCAATTACTCATAACAGTTGAGAGTAGGAACAGTTTATATTTCAGGAATCCACATCTAATCATCCAAATTCACTCACTCATTCATCAAATATTTGAGTCAAGAAAGTCACAAAACCTAACATTTGCAGAAGGGAAACAAAACAATTTTTCTCTTCAATATTAATTCCTTTCTTTTTAGACTTCCTCTGATTGTAGTGGTCGATTTTCACAAGAAATATAATGAAGAAAAAGGAAGGACAAAAAGAGGCTCAATAATTCATCATCTAAATATCCGGAGTTAAGGGTTTCATGTGACTTTTTATTTTTATATGGCTAAAAACATTTCACAGCCCAACCAAAACTGATATGAATTCATTTTCTGAGAAGGTTCCCATATAGGCAGGGGCTCCCTAAGTCCTGCCAATTGTCTCCAGAATGAGAAGAGGGAACAAGTTATTTCTTTAAGGGCAGCCATTTCACCAATATCTAGATGTATAACTCTCTCCACAACTTACTTCTCAGCAGGGGTAGCTTCCATTTTGCACCTCAGAGTCCAATACAATATTTTAGTGGCCCTGAAGCCAGACAAACTCATTGATTTTATTTCTACTTTCCTCACTTAATACCTATAGGATCTCAGACAAGTTATTTAATCATGCTAAACTTCAGTTTCTCCATCTATAAAATAGGATGATAATATCAAACGCATACCATTATTTAAACATTATTTAGAATGTATGTGAAATGCTTAGCATATTGCCTAGCTAAAATTATTAAAAACAAGGAAAAACTAAGTACTTGTTAAGTAAAATTCATTAATAACAAGAAATATTATTATTCCCCATTTCCATAAGAAATTCAGGTGCGGCTGAATAATGCACCTTGGGAGGCCAAGGCAGGCAGATCACAAGGTCAGGAGTTTGAGACCGGACTGGCCAATACGGTGAAACTCTGCCTCTATTAAAAATACAAAAATTAGCCAGGTGTGGTGGCGTACACCTCTAGTCCCCTGTAGTCCCAGCCACTTGGGAGGCTAAGGCAGAAGAATCGCTTGAAGCGGGAGGTGGAGGTTGCAGTGAGCCAAGTTCGTGCCACTGCACTTGTCTGGGCAAATCAATGAGACTCTGTCTCAAAAAAAAAAAAAGAAAAAAAAAATCATTATTCAACTGTTTAAAATTTTTGGAGAATGTCCATTTTGGACATCCTTCCGTATTTGTATACCTAAATAATAAACAACTATTTTCTGTTACATTATGATTATGAAACCAATTCCTTTAGAGATTTATGACACAATGATGAATTAATGTACAACACTCTGTTTAACAATTGTGTATTTTATGTGTCCTAAATTACCCTTATTTCTATGAATCCATTTGTAAAAGCAACAGTGAACAACCATTCAGATAAAGTACTGCTTTTATCGACTGATACACACTCTGGCCCCAGCTTTACATGTAACACATACAATAAAGAAAGATGTACACAAATAGGTCCAGAAGAAGGATAGGAAGGAGAGGGTGCAGTAGAAGCTAAATTTCCCAGGGCCGTCACTATTTCCGTCATTACTTTAGAATGTAGTTTCTTAAAGAAACAGTCGAAAGTCATGTATGGAAAGGACAAAAACCACCGTCACAAGTACACGCTTCCCTTCTGGATCATCACCACCAAGAATGTAACTCATAGGCAAAGTCCTTGACAGAATCCTTTCTCCTGCCTTGGTCAGGTCGGCCCATACACAAAAGCTGACTCAGATCACAAAGTAGTACGAAATCTGTAATAAAGTCTGAAAAGTTGAGTTTTATCTCCGATAACTCACACCCTTGACACTGTCACCACAGAGAAACTAAATCTGCTTTTCAAGTATTCTCTTTAATTTCTTTTTTTTTTCTTTTTATTTTTTTTCTTTTTTTCAATCAGTTTTATTAACATGGGGGTCTAAGTAGATTTCAAAATAAAGACCATTTATACAATGGGACCATTTTAATGTCTACAATAAATCTTGATTGCAGACATGTATGGCTGTTTGGTAGTATTG